CCAGGGCCCCTCGCGCCATCCTCAGGGCAGCCCCGTCCCCCCTTCCTATCCCGGGGAGGGGCGGGGGACCTAGTTATAAAACACTTCGTCCTCCGAGAGGGAGCTGCTGTCCACGTAGTGCAGGGAGTTGCTGAGCCGCTTCTGGCCCACGCTGGTCGTGCCCTCCTGCTCTCTCCCCACGCAGGCCTGCTCCTTCTCCGAGCTGTCTGCCCGGGAGCTCCCGGTCCGGGGGGAGCCGCAGGGGAGAGCCCCGGGGAAGGGGTGGGTCGAGTTCCACCTGTCCACTCTGGAGTGCACCCAGGGTATTGGGGAGGTGTGGGTGGAGGAGGAGCAGGCGGGCAGCCTGCCTTCCAGGTTGGGGCTACTTATCACCTGGGGACTCAGCACCAGCTTCTCCTGCAGGTAGATGCTCTCCAGGTCTGAAAGCAAAGCCGGGGAGGGGAAGAGTGTGTTAGGGACTCAGCAGGGCAGGCTACTGGCAGCTGGCAGGGCCCGGGAGAACGGGCAAGGACAACACTTTTGGGAGTGGCCACCAATCCTGGGTGCCCAGCTTGAGACACTTTGAGGCGCTGATCACCCGCGGCTCCAGCTGGAGTTGCTGGGTCCTCGGTCCATCCAGGGCCCCAGTCCTGCCCTCAGCTCCTGGGCTTACGGAAGGGGATCCCCCAGGGATGCAGCATTGGCCTAGTGCAGGGGGGTGCCCCTGTGCTCCATGGCCCCCAGCTGCCCAAACACCCCCCCTTGGAACAAGATGACAGACATGGAGCCAGGGAACCACCCCTGACTGATACAGGACACCAGCCAGGATGGCCCCGAGGGACCCTCCTGGATCTGTTCCATGCAGGGAGGGCTGGGGAACATCAGGAGCCCTGCAGGGCCGCTCATGGCAGAGAGGAGGGGGAAGGTACCTTGAAGCTGTACGATCTCCTGGGAGCTGCCCCCGTAATTCATTTCTTCATCGTCTAGCGAGGACCAGGCGCTCAGGGTGGCCTCGGTGATGGCGAATTGTTCAGCGACCCCTGGGCAGGACCGTGGGAAACCAAACACAGGTTACAAGGGGAGGGGATTGATACTGGGCCGTGTCTTGAACCTGGCTACGCCAAGGTAACTCTGGAATGACATCACTGAAATCAGAGCGAAACTGGATGAACACCAGTGTTCCCAGGAGGAAAATCTGGCTCGTCCCCG